GGATTCGAACCCGCCACCTTAGGTGTACGTGGCTGGCGCCTTAGCCAGTTGAGCTATAGGCGCCGAGCCTTAACTCTTTATTTGTAAGTAAAAAGAGCACACTGTAAAATAACAATAAAAAATATAGTATAGTAAGTATATAACCAGTAACGTAGTTGTGTATTATCATTGCCAACTATGTATAGTATGTGCTGTGTATTACACTGTATATACTTTATACAGCTGGCATCACACCAGGTTTGTTTATATCAGCAGCACCACAAATACATGACATTGCAACCCCTGTGATGGCCCGGCTTCTTATAACCCTGTGGGAGTGCCATCATATGTGGTTCGTATTGGCCAAAATGTAATTATGCAGCACGTGACTGTATCTACATGATGAATATTGGGATAAATAAGTGGCTTTATCAACTGAACTTTCAACTCACTACAGTCTAGGAAAGTTGGAGTGGAATATTTGGAAGTTAACTAAGAAATAACAGATATGTGAATAAGATGTAAATGCCTTTCAATGTATTAATTAAGTATATGTTCATTAAATATTTAAAATTAAACTGTGTACTTTTTAACTACCATCATCTGACCCCTATCTGTTTAAATATCTGACCTCATTAAAGTTTTTCTGTCCCAGACTTCTTAAAGGCAGAGGTATTGTCTTTTGAAGTTAAATCAATATAACTTTGTTTTTTCCAGCATTTTCCCCTTAAAGGAAATTTTTCTCCTATAGTGGAATACCATAAATTGCAAGCAGTTTTAACAAGGTGCATGAATGAAAAGAAAAAGCTAAATAGTTTTAGTCCTAGGCATTTCTCTTGTGCTTTTTTACTGTTTCTAAATAAATCTCCCCTCCTTTGCCATAGTATATGTTCTGCTTTTAAACAGGGACCTCAAATGTGAACCTGTCAGTAACTCTAAATGGAGATGAGACTACTGAAGAAACAGTAGGAAGTAGAAAAGTTAAAAAATCCTTAAAACAGTCTATGAAAGTGGGCTCGTCAGAAACCCAAAATGGAGACGTGTCTGAAGAAACAGTGGAAAATGTAAAAGTAAAAAAATCCCCCCAGAAAAGTACATCTACCATATTAACCAATGGACAAGCAGCAATGCAGTCTCCCAATTCAGAATCAAAGAAGAAAAAGAAGAAGAAGAAGAAGAGAAAGATGGTGAATGATGCTGGGCCTGGTGGGTACTTTCCTTTAACTAACACCCTTGAAGCAGTTTTTCACAGGCAGTTACCGTCCCACCTTCTTCCTTGTTACTGTGTGTACATGACATTCAGGAGAACCCTCTGCTGCCGCTCTACCACAGACTAGCCTGGTAGCTGACAGAAACTTTTTTTTTTTTTTGCTGGAAACAGGGAGTCCATTTTAACTTTTCTCAAGCTAATGAGCAATATGTCACGTTTTTACATTTCTTAACCTTGGAAGAAAAAAAAACCCCACACTTGGATAAGACTCTTTTTAGAAATTTGCTCTTTGGGACAGTTAGCCAGCTTTTTATGATAGACCAGACTATAACATAGTGCAGTGGTTCTCAACCTTCCTAATGGCGCGACCCATTAATACAGTTCTTCATGTTGTGGTGACCCCCAACCATAAAATTATTTTCGTTTCATTACTACTTCATAACTAATTTTGCTACCGTTATGAATCAGTAATGCAACTATCTGATATGCAGGATGTATTTAGGCAACCTCTGGGAACGGGTTGTTCGACCCCCAATGGAGTTGTGACCCATAGGTTGAGAACTGCTGGCATAGAGTTTTAGATTAACCTGCTTGCCAACAAAATTGCAGAATTACTAACAATAAAGAAATCTGAGTTGGTAGTAGGGTCTATCTTCCTGGGCCTTTCTTTATCAAAAGATTTTTTTTTTTTTTTTGCCTACCATAAATTCCTCCTTTAAAAGGCATCTTAGTTGCAAATAGCATTTAGTTCTAACCTGAGTAAATGGTACAGTAATTTCCAAGTGAGTAAAATGGGCAAGAAGGAAGGACTGTTTTTTGAAGATGATTGTATCTGAACAAGTTTAAGTGAAGGGATGGACTTTTTAAGTGATGTGAATAAGCAGAGGTTTAGAGGTAGGATAGAATGAGGGTCAGCATGATATCTGGCCTTCCACCTGTTTTTGTTAATCAAGCTTTACTGGGTCACAGTAGCGTCCATCTTACTGTCTTTTATGACACCAGAGACTGTGTAGCTTGTAAAAACCTACAATATTTGTTATCTGGCCCTTGTAAAAACTTTGCCAGACCCTGCCAAATTTTTGTGTTTTGTTCTTAAAATAATGCTATTTATATATCTTACCTGAAATAAGGGCTTTTTTTAAAGAAGAACTTTGCGCTTTTCCTACACATGGCTGTCTCCATGCAGCCTGATAAAATACTTACAGGTTATGAGAAATTGCTTAAATAGAAAGTGAAACAAAATAGGGGGAAAAATGAAGATGAAGAGTTAGTTCTGATTTAAAGAGAGTATAATCCTGTTCTGAAATTATCAGTGTCTTTATGGTTCTTGATCTGAGTATGCCCAAGGAAGTGACATTATTTCTACTCACAAGCATTGAGTCACAGTGCTGGGGATTCTAACCTTATCTGTTAAGTGTAGGAACTGTTGCAGGGGAAACAAAAGTGGTAGGGCCTGGAGACCAGCTGATGATATCCATGGCTTTTGAACCTGTGGATCTATAGAATTCACAATTTGGAGTGGAATATTGAAGAGAGAAGTGGGAGGGGGGATTGCAAAGGTAGTTTGGGGCCACATGATGAAAGTTGGGGGTGTAGCATTGAGGAGCTAGGAAGCCCTGTGTTTCCTTCCTCACCGCTGACAACCACGGAGTAGCCCAGTTTATGTCGCCCAGCTCAGTAGATTGTTCCTTTGCTTTGTTCTAGTGTAGCACTTAGAACATGAGGAGTTTAGGGATTTTCCATTTATTTTTAAAACAAATAAGCATTTCTAGAAACTTATGTAGTTGGTATGGTATGGGAAGAAAAATCAGTGCTTGTAATGAACTTTTAAGAATTACGTTACTCAAAACTGGGCGCAGCGGCTCAAACCTGTAATCCTAGCATTCTGGGAGGCCGAGAGAGGTGGATAGGCTGAGCTGAGGAGTTCCAGACCAGCCTGAGAAAGAGCAAGACCCCATTTCTTAAAAAAAAGAAAAAAAAATTAGCTAGGCGTTACGGTGGGCACCAATAGTCCCAGCTACTTGGGAGGCTGAGGCAAGAGAATCACTTGAGCCCAGAGTTTTGGGTTGCTGTTAGCTATGACACCCCAGCACTTTACCAAGGGTGACAAAGGCTCAAAAGCAAAAGAATTGTGTTACTCAGATATAGTTTTTTCCTAATGAAATGTATGGAACTTTTAATTAGTATTTTTATATTGCTTAGTTGAAATTTTTTTAAAAATTTGTTTTGTTAAATAAGGTGGTATAATACATTAAGAAACCTTTAAGATATTGCCAAATCTTTATGTACCAATATGACCAAATCAAAAAGATTCTTAAATTAATACTGAGTATATTAAGCTTTTGAAAATATACCTCTTTGCATCACAAATCTTTTATTGTGTTAATTTCATGAGGCATTTTTATTTAAAGAAAAAAAATTTTGTGTTTTGTTCTTAAAAACCAAAGATGCAAAAAAACCAAAAACTGAAAACAAAGGGGAATCTGAAGAAGAAAGTGCTGAGGCACATGAAGGAACAGAAAACCGCGCGGGGGAGCCAGAGAATGAGGAAGGTGGCGGTGAGGTCCCCAGCCTGCCCATGGGACTGACAGGTAACTCCCAGGAAGTGTTCCAGACACAGCTTATTAAAATGTTGTACCTCTGCGAAATTTACTACGTGTAGAATATAAATGTCTTAACACAGTAACTAAGAAAATGCCGTGAAGGCTGTGTTTGACGAAAGCATTTCAAATTGTAAGTAAAACCAGCACATTGTACCCCATGATTGCATTAATGTACACAGCTATAATTTAATCAGATTTTTTTTTTTAAGTGAAATGTTGTGCCTCTCTTAGAAGATTATGATATTGAAAGTTAAACTATGGCTTTGAATTTACTTGGAAAAAGTAACTATCAAGAAGAAATGTTTTATATGTCTTTCTGTTTTTCTCTTTATCATCTACTTTGTGGTGCCTTAGTTATTTTTGTTTCCTGTGTTTTCTTCCTTTTCTCCATTCCTAACCCAAAATACTACGTACAAAAGCAGCTTCTAGGATGCTTTGTATCTTTGATTTGTCCTTGTCTAAGGTCCATTCCAGGTCCTAAAGTCTAGAGAGCAGGGGTTTAATGCAGGCTCAGTCACTAGTAAAGAAGGAAGGCTGAAGTGGGTGTCAGGGAGGGACTTGTGCCTTTAACCTCCTCTGGCCTTTGTTCATTTGTAAACTCAAGAGTTTAGAATGGAATTAGCTGCTCCCAATCAGAAATGTCTATGAATTACTTAAGTTGTTAAAATACTGAGCAAACCCAGACTTGCTTAATCAAAACTGGAGACATTTTGGCAGCAGTTCTCAAGCAGGGCAGTTTTCACAGAATTTTCCCAGATTTAGCACTGAATGTCCTGAATCCACCACCTGTGTCCCAGGTATACTGAGAAGGTTGGTCACCCACCCCCTAGGAGACATTCTTGGTTGCCAGAATTAGGGGCCATCTACTTAGTGGAAGTTAGGAATGCTGCATAAAATTTTATAACTCATAGGACACCTCCCCAAACTAAGAATTATCTCACCCAAAATGTCAGTTGTCAGTGTTGCCAAGGCTGAGCATCCCTGGTTTCCAGCCTGGGCATGTCAGGGTGGGAGTTCCCAGGGGATTCTGCTTCTGATCCCTGCTGTAGCTGCATCTGACTCAGTGGTCTTTTTGGAGTAAGGTTAACTGGATTTTTTAAACTGAGGGTTTTTTTTTCCTGGTCTTGGCATTTTTGTTTTATGTCCTTTGATTATGCCACCTCTTCACCCCTTACATGGTTACAGTATAAGCTTTAAATCACACAGACATCAGCAGCTTCAGAAGTATATGGTCTTTTTCTTAATATTATCACATAGGAATGACTAGGCAAGTATAGCTGTATTTTTTTTTTTTTTTTGAGAGATAGTCTCCTTTACTACCCTTGATAGAGTGTAGTCATAGCTCACAGCAACCTCAAACCCTTGGGCTCAAGCGATTCTCTTATCTCAGCCTCCTGAGTAGCTAGGACTATAGGCACCCACCACAGTGCCCAACTATTTTTACAGATGGGGTCTCGCTCTTGCTTAAGCTGGTCTTGAACTCCTGAGCTTAAACAATCCACCCACCTCTGGCTCCCAGAGCACTAGGATTACAGGTGTGAGCCACCGTGCCCGGTCTCAAACAGATGACCTTGGCCACAGTGGGTTTCAAATCCATGTCCCCGAAGAGACCAGAGCCTTAACCCAGTCCCTTAGACCACTTGGCCACAGCACCTAGGTGACACTCTTAAAAAGATATGTTTGCTAATGATACGCTCTCTTCCGTTTAGGTGCTTTTGAGGATACTTCATTTGCTTCTTTAAATGATCTTGTCAATGAAAATACTTTGAAGGCAATAAAAGAAATGGGCTTTACAAACATGACTGAAATTCAACATAAAAGTATCAAGCCACTTCTGGAAGGCAGGTATGATTAATGTGTACATTCACAAATAGTACATGCTAAACATTTGCTGAATGAGTGGACTAAATGTCTTGTCTTTTCCCTTTTTTACTATTTAGGGATCTTCTAGCAGCTGCAAAAACAGGCAGTGGCAAAACTCTGGCTTTTCTTATCCCTGCAGTGGAACTCATTGTGAAGTTAAAGTTCATGCCCAGGAATGGTAAACTTTTAATGTGCTTGTTTCTGCCATTATTTCCCTAGAAGTTTGTTGTAGTTTTTAGGGACGTATAGTGACAGCCACAGTTTGACTTTACAATATATTATTTTTTTCGTTTTAGGAACGGGAGTCCTTATCCTCTCACCAACTAGAGAACTGGCCATGCAGACTTTTGGCGTTCTTAAGGAGCTGATGACTCACCATGTGCACACATACGGCTTGGTAATGGGTGGCAGTAACAGATCTGCTGAAGCACAGAAACTCTCTAATGGGATCAACATCATTGTGGCCACCCCAGGTCGTCTCCTAGACCACATGCAGGTGAGAGAGAGAGTGAGAGTCCAACACTGTGAGTGGACCACCCAGGGGACTGTAACAAGCTGGGCAACATAAGGACTCGGCCTACTGCACTGATACATACATGTATTTACTTTCCGTCACAGCTTTTATTAGTGAATATCATACATAATCATATATACAGTATTATACAAAATCAATACATTCACCATTTTCTCATGGCTTAATCATTCTTTCTGAAAAAAGAGTCAATCTTGGTCTGTTTCTTATTCTCATTTCAAATGTAAGTAGAAGCTCAACGCTTGTGGCTCAAGTGGCTAAAGCGCCAGCCACATACACCTAAGGTGGCGGGTTCAAATCCAGCCTGGGCCCACCAAATAACAATGATGGCTGCAACCAAAAATTAGCCAGGCGTTGTGGTGGGCACCTGTGGTCCCAGCTACTTGGGAGGCTGAGGCAGGAGACTCTCTTGAGCCCAGGAGTTGGAGGTTGCTGTGAGCTGTGATGTCACAGCACTCTACCCTGGGGCACAGCTTGAGGCTCTGTCTCAAAAAAAAAAAAAAAAAAAAAAAAAAAATGTAAGTGGAAAAAGTACCCTCGATGTGGGCCACACCACCCAGCATAATGATCATTTTTATGCAGCAAGTGACTTCCGCTGCATTACCAGATGCTGATATTCTCATCTTTTGGAATCTCTGCACTTTGTATGTCATCCTCACTTGCTTCTTCAACTGCCTCAGTTGCTTTGTGCACTTTTACCCTAGTTTATACTTTGGTCAGTAGTAGCACTTGGTAAATTGCTCTTGGGTCGGATTCATTACAAGTTGGCCACCTCAATTCTGTCATGGGAGGTAGACTGTTGAGACCAAGACATCATACACTTGGGTCATAACAAATCAGATTTTCTTGAAACACTTCTATATCATTTCTGGCTGAACTTTATTCCAAGCAGAATTGATTCAGAGGACAACATCCAGAGTATTAACTGATACCACAAATGAAGCTGCTTCCACAGGTAGACCACAGGCTGGTGGTTTAGTAATGAGCCACTGCAGGAGCTAGGCTCAGTGGTGCATTTTACATGTTTGGATGATGCCTTGGTCAGGGGGTTGGGTTTTTTTGGTTTTTTTGGTTTTAATTAAATCACAGCTGTGTACATTAATGCAGTCATGGGGTACAGTGTGCTGGTTCTATACACAATTTGAAATATTTTCACCAAACTGGTTAACATTGCCTTCATGGCCTTTTCTTAGTTATGTTTATATTCTACATTTAGAAAGAGTCACATGTACCCTTGTAAGGTGGACCATAGGTGTGGTCCCATCAATCACCCTCCCTCTGTCCTTCCTCCCCTCTCCCCGCCCTTCCCTCTCCCTCTTCCCCATATTCTTGGGCTATAATTGGGCTATAGCTTTCATATGAAAGAGGGGGTTGGATTTTTGAGGTTGTGTTAGCGGGAGAAATTTCAGTGTCAGTATTTGTGAGATGATTCACTTACAGTTGTCTGATAGCAGCAACATACAACCATTTCTTCTTTTTCACTTCTCACTTTACCCACTCCTCAACTAGGGCACCAGTACATTTGTTCCATCTCTAAGTGGTCTTTGATTTCAATTTCTTGAATCATGTGTCTTGGCTAATGTACTAGTCACCAAGGGCTTTAGTTTCTCGAAACATTCTTTGGAAAGTTTTCTGCTCTTAATGTTTGTGATCTTTCCTGATGAGGCTCCTGTCAGAGATTGCCTTGAAAAGAGTCTGCACTCATCATTGTTAAAGATGTTGTTTAAGTTTCTTGAGCCAAACCCTTGATTCTTGGAAATCTGTCAACCCAAATTCCTGTGTGAATTTTTAAGCAACTTCCTTGGATTGTCAGCCTGGAGATGGGGCATTAACTGCCCTCATTTGTTTGAACCCGCTTAATGTGGCTTCATTGACTTCCTCAGATGCCACTTTCCTCCTTTGCCTCTGCAGGTGTCCGCTTCCTTACCATATCTCTCCAAGAATTCATGTTTATGAGTTTAGATGTTGCTAACTGTGGCCTTGCTAACTCCAAATGTTTGGACATCTTTTCTTTGGCTGCTGCTTTCCAGAAAATGTGGATCAGCTATTTCATTCGATGTCACCTCTTTTCTTTGGGCCATAATACCTCTATTAACTATAAAATTTTTAAGTAATTATAGGATGTACCTACAATTGAGACCAGTCCTTCACGTTAGAAAAATGTACAATATGTGATAAGTAATAGGACATTAGGCCTAGTCCAACACGTGGTAATAAAACTTGAGAAAAGAACTTATACTAAAGAAAAAATACACTAAGGAGCAAAGCCCACTCATTCCACCCCTTGGTGTGGAATGGACTCAACTGGTCAAATTTTAGAGGGTAAATTAACACGTGTCACAGTTCATGTGTTCAGGACATAACTTACAGAGGTGGTCAATATATAGAGGTCAATTTTCCATTAAGTACATGTGACACATGTCTGGTCTATGAAAATTAGGTCAACCTAAGGTGGTGGTCACTATAGGGGGGTGGTCAACCATGAAAGTTCTACTGTTATATAATTTAGTGCTTGCCTTATATGAAAAACAAACTTGACAACTAACAGGTTTTCTTTGTCTTTGTTTCGTTAGAACACCCCTGGGTTTATGTATAAAAATCTACAGTGTCTGGTTATTGATGAGGCTGATCGTATCTTGGATGTTGGGTTTGAAGAAGAATTAAAGCAGATTATTAAACTTCTGCCAAGTAAGTAGGTGGTGTCTGCATGCAGTCTGCAAAGTACCTATGGGAGGTAGTTCAGAGTTTTTCTTATCAAAAACTGTATTAATACCAGACTTTGACCATAGCCAAGTGAGTTAATTGTACCAGTCAACCTTAGAAGCAGCTTGGAATACAGACATTAAAGTTAGTATATATAATGTAAGTTAAACAGTCCTGACATAGGTCTCATTTCTTCTCCCACCACCTGTTCTTATCTTTTTTTTTTTTTAAGAAACAGAGTCTCACTTTACCACCCTTGATTGAGTACCATGGCAGCGTCATGCAGCTCACAGCAACCTCTACCTCTTGGGCTTAGGTGATTCTCTTGCCTTAGCCTCCTGAGTAGCTGGGACTACAGGCGCTCACCACAATACTCAGCTATTTTTTTTTTGTGGTTTGGCCAGGGCCAGGTTTGAACCCGCCACCCTTGGTATATGGGGCCGGTGCCCTACTCACTGAGCCACAGGCGCTGCCCTAAAGTTGCTTTTTTTTTGTTTTTTTTGTTTTTTTTTTTTTTTTTTTTTGCAGTGTTTGGCCGGGGCTGAGTTTGAACCCACCACCTGTGGCATATGGGGCTGGTGCCCTACTCTTTTGAGCCACAGGCGCTGCCCACCACCGGTTCTTACCTTATCTAACATCTCCTCATTGCCTTATGTGTTATATTTGGCTTACGCCCACCTTGGCCTTGATTATAATACTGCACCATTATAAACTGCTTATAAGTGTAGTAGAACCATAATCCTATTCGTTATTTGATTTATCCTTCTTTAATGCTTTATCAAGATAATTGACGTAAATAGATGTACACATGTAAAGCGTACAGTTCGGTGCTCTCTGATGTGTTCACCACCATGAAACTATCACTGCACACAAGATAGTGAACACGTCTATCACCTTCCAGGTTTCCTCTGGCCGCTTTGCAGTCCCTCCACTCATCCCTGCTCTCACACATCTCTCCCTCCCATGACTGTTGATGTGTTTTCTGTCACTGTAGATCAGCTTGCATTTTTAGAGGTTTGTATCAGTGGGATCATACGGTATATACTCCATTATTGGCCTAATCTTTCCTTCATTTAATCTTTGGAGATGTATCCATGCTGTTGCATCAGTTCTTTTTATCTTCAGTAGCATTTAATTATGAGTGTACCAGTTTATCCATTTATCTATTGATGGATCTTTCGTACAATTTAGGGCTATTACAGATAAAGTTGCTACGAACATTCATCCACCCTTCTCTGTAGGGTCATAGATCTCGTTTTCTCATAAACCTTTTCTCTTGAGCAGAATGGCTGGTGTCTGTTTAACTTTCAGAAACCGCCAGGTATTTTCCAAAGCCCTTGTACCGTTTTGCATTACTGTCAGCATCATATGAAAGTTGTGGTTCTTCCTTTTGTGTCTTGAAAAAACAGGTAGTGTTAGCCCCCAAGTTTGTTCTCTCTCAAAGTTGTTTTGGCTGTTCTTGTCCTTTGCATTTCCTTACAAATTTTAGAATCATTTGTCGATTTCTGTCTACCCCACAAAAAATCTGGAATCATAATCAAGATTGTATTTTTTAGGTTGTTAATTTCTCTGTATAATTTTTTTGGTGTTTCTAATACACAGGTTTTCTTCGCATCTCTTGTCAGATTTATCCCTGAGTATTATGTTAAAATTTCAATTTCCAATGGTTTATTGCTTTGTTGCTCATATATAGGGAGAGAGCTGATTTTTGTATATTGATCTAGCATCCCGCAAGATAGTTATTCCTGTACTCAGTGATTGTCTGGTACTACTTTCCAGATGATCCTAGCTTTGGGGATTTTCTAAATAGACAGTCATTTACAAGTACATTTTCACTTCTTTTTTTCTTTTTCTTTTTCTTTTTTTTTTTTTTTTTGGAGACAGAGTTTCACTTTGCTGCCCTCGGTAAAGTTAAAGTGCCGTAACGTCACAGCGACCTCCACCTCTTGGGCTTAGGTGATTCTCTTGCCTCAGCCTCCCAAGTAGCTGGGACTACAGGTGCCCACCACAGAACCTGGCTATTTTTTTGTTGCAGTTTGGCCGGGGCCAGGTTTTTACCCACCACCCTCAGTATATAGGGCTGGCGCCTTACTCACTGAGCCACAGGTGCCCCATTATCGCTTCTTTATTTAATTTTTTTTCTTGCCTGATTGACCTGGCCAATACTGAAGAGAAATGGTGAGAGCTGCCGTCCTTGTCTTGTTCCTGATCTTAGGGGAAAGTGTTCAGTTTTCCACCACTGAGCATGTATGAAGTTAGTCATAAGCTTTGTGTAGGGGTCCTTTATCAGACTGAGGAAGATCCCTTCTGTTTCTGATTTGCTGAGGGTTTTAACCAGAAATAGATGGCCAAATGTATTTTCTGTGTCTATTGAGATAATCAGATACTTTTTCTTGAGTTTGTTAATAGGCTAAATTATATTGGGAGTTTTTTTGGTTTTGGTTTTTTGTATTTTTTTTTTTCAAATGTTAAATCAACCCTGAATTTCTAGTATAAGTCCTACCTGGTCATGATCCATTATCCTTTCCATATGTTACTGGATTCACTTCTCTAAAACTCCATTTAGAAATTCTCCTTCTGGTGCTCATGAATTACATTGCTGTATAGTTTTACTTCATACGATGACATTATCAGGTTTTTATGCAGGGTTACTAGTTGGTTTCAAAGAATGTGTTGGCAAGAGAAGGGTCCTCTTTGATTTCCTGGAGAGTTTGTGAAGAACTGATAATCTTAAATATCTGATACAATTCACCGGTGGAATCTCTTTCAGCCCGAAATTTTCTTTTCATGAAGGTTTTGACTGAAATTTCTTTAGTAGATTGTGGTTATGCTCATTTTTTCTTTCTTGAATAGTATCTTTTAAGGAATTTGTCCATTTCATCTGGTTCTCAAATGTGTAGACCCAATGTTTCATGATATGCCCATTCTTTATAATATCCATAAAATCTATAGTAATAGCTCCATTTCTAATCATTCTAACTAGAGCATTTGTAGTTGTGAAATAATTATGAAGAGTCCATGGAAGACTGAAGTGGTTTTTACATTTATTTTTTTCAGCACGCAGACAGACAATGCTCTTTTCTGCCACACAAACTCGAAAAGTTGAAGATCTAGCAAGGATTTCTCTGAAAAAGGAGCCATTGTATGTGGGTGTTGATGATGATAAAACTAATGCGACAGTGGATGGTCTTGAGCAGGTACTTTTTTATCAACAGCTTAAAACCTTAAGGTCTTGGCTCGGCGCCTATAGCTCAACCGGCTAAGGCGCCAGCCACGTACACCTAAGGTGGCGGGTTTGAATCCCCAGCCCGGACCCGCCAAACAACAATGACGGCTGCAACCAAAAAATAGCCGGACGTTGTGGCCGGCGCCTGTGGTCCCAGCTACTTGGGAAGTGGAGGCAGGAGACTCGCTTGAGCCTAGGAGTTAGAGGTTGCTGTGAGCTGTAATGCCACGGCACTCTGCCCAGGGGGACAGCTTGAGGCACTGTCTCCAAAAAAAAAAAAAAAAAACCTTAAGGTCTTGATGTTTTCATGTAATTATTGGAGGATCATCCAGAAAGCAAATAGGTCGGTGAACTTTTGATTCAAATACAGTCCCCAACCGTTAACAGTTTCAATTTATGATGGTGCAAAGATGATATATGTTCAGTAGAAACCATACTTCAGTACATTATTCACTAAGTTATGTGATATACTCCATACTTTGTTGTAAAATAAGCTTCATGTTAGATGATTCTGCCCCACCATAGACTATTGTAAGTGTCCTGTGCACATACAAGGTTAGGCTATAAGCTATGGTGTTTGATAGGTTAGATGTATTAAATGCATTTTCAACTTAAATTATTTTCAGTTCACAGTGGATTTATCAGGATGGCCTCATTGTAAGTGGAGGACCATCTTCTATATAATGAACTTGAGTAGTAGATCTAGACACTCTAGGCCATGAACTCTTGAAAATAATTTGGTCATCTCTCTGTACTCTGTTGATGCCACTTGTCACATGGGAGGCATTATTAATAATTGATGCCAGTTTGAAATGTTTTTAATAATCTCAGTATGATGCAAGATGAATTTAGATGATGGACAGACTGGTTCAGATTGCATACCTATGAATAGGTAGAAGCGAAGTAACAGATCTAAACTAAGTTGGTTAAAATGAGAATTTCAAGATCAAGTCTTCGATGAACAAAATGTTCTTTATAAGTGGGTGTAGTTTTAAAAGCCTTGGTTTAGTTGTTTTAGTTTTTAAAGTTGTTTAGTTGGGTGTTGGTATTTCAGGCTTTATAAAGCACAAATGGGGTGTACACACAGGTTTTGCTGTAGGTAAGGCATCATAGTTTATATGCTGTGTTTACCTGTGCTCTTGAAATACATTGGTTTGTGAAGCTGAAAATCTGTTGGATTCATTAGTATCTGTTTGCTGGAACTATTTCTAGGGATATGTTGTTTGTCCCTCTGAAAAGAGATTCCTACTGCTCTTTACATTCCTTAAGAAGAACCGAAAGAAGAAACTAATGGTTTTCTTTTCATCTTGTAAATCCGTCAAATACCACTACGAGTTGCTGAACTACATTGATTTGACTGTCTTGGCTATTCATGTAAGTGATTATGATGAGCTTATTGAAAACAAGTCCTATAGATGATGGGATTGGAGGTACTGCTGTCTCCTCAAATTTTTTCTGAGTAACTTGATCACCACTGGGTGGTGAATACTTTGTGGAGAGATGAGGACTTCAAAGAGGGGAAGAGACTATCCTCAAGGGGCCAGTTGGGGAAATAGGACACAAGCCTTGAGGTGAGCGTGAAACAAAATAGGGTAATGACTCCAAGTTTGGAGGTTGTACAACTAGATTTCTTAGAATCAGCCTAAAGGTTCTAGCTCTAATGGGTTTTTACATTTATTTGATTCTAGGGGAAGCAGAAGCAAAATAAGCGCACGACCACATTCTTCCAGTTCTGCAATGCAGATTCAGGGATTTTGTTATGTACAGACGTGGCAGCAAGAGGGCTGGATATTCCTGAAGTTGACTGGATTGTTCAGTACGACCCTCCAGATGACCCTAAGGTAACTGGCGTGTGCGGGGTGTCTTCAGAATGGTTCTACATTGAGGAGTCTACTGACTCTCCGGGCTTCCTGGGAAGTACCACAGTCTCATTCCTAAGGTTTATCCCTATTACGTAGTGACTGTGGTATCTGTCTGGTGTTGGTATTTCGGGCTTTACAAAGCACAAATGGGGTGTACACACAGGTTTTAGAGGCATCAGTAGGATTTAAATTAAGAATATTAGATTCCTGAAATGATCAGTTAAGAACAGTAAGAAAATTTACTTGAAGATGTGAATAAGATAGTGTGATGTGTGTAGTAAAACGTTGTGGGGGTGTTTTAAGCCATTCTGAAGATGAAGCATGCATAATGCTTCTTTCATTAGAGCACGGTGTGGCTGTGAACATTGATTATGTTCAGCCTTTCTAGGCCTTGGTCATTAGCCTGTTAGCCCTCTGGGGATGATGTGTTCAAAGGGATTGCTGGCTTAGCTTTGTGCGGGGCCCAGTCCTGTGGGAGGCACATCGTCTCAGTACAGATTACTGACATGTCTCTGTTACCACCATGCACACGTCAGAAGTGCAGACATGTTGCCTATAGGCTCATGTGGAAGTCAGTGCATTAACTTGGGTTTTGCTTTTTCTACCAAAGGAATACATTCATCGTGTAGGTAGAACAGCCAGAGGCCTGAATGGAAGAGGTCATGCTCTACTCATTTTGCGCCCAGAAGAATTGGGTTTCCTTCGTTACTTGAAGCAATCCAAGGTAAAAATCTTTGCTTGGAACATTTTAAATTGGAAACAAATTCTTCTTGATGTGCAGGAACTATTTCTGCATCTGTCACTGTGCCGGTAACACAGTGTTACACAGGACAGTGTTATTAAAATAGTTACAGCAATGAAGCAAGTAAGAGTTATCCACTTCTGACCCAGGAGGTGTGGACAGAAGGAACCACCCAGGGCTCGGCCCTGTAGCTCTGGGTTGCTCAGCAGCACCACTGTGTCCCAGTCTCTCCTCTCCTGTTCCGTACATCTCTGAAACTTTGTTCAGTCCTTTTATGCTCCCTCAGTCAACGCCTGGGCATCTCTCCTCTCCCCTTGCTCCCCTCCTGCAGTCTTGGTTGCATCCCTTCATCCTCAGGTCTTTCCTTCCTACTTTGTGTAAAGCAGTAGGAACCTCCCTTCATCCTGCCCCTGCCTGCCTCTCTGCCTCCTCTGTCCCCATTCTCCATGCGTGGCCTTTGATCTTTTTCCTGCAATTAGTGCTTTACTGTCACAGATCCCTTGGGGTGAAAAAGTAACTTCCACCCTAAACCCATTCTGCTGCCACTGTCTCTTCTTCAGTTTGCCTGCTATTCAGTCCACGTCCACCCTAATCCGGCTTTGTCCTCCTTTCATCCCCCCAGAACTGACTCCATCAGAACCGTGAGGGCTCCTTGTTGCCAGGCCTCGGGAGCGCACGTCAGGCCTTCTCTTCTGACACTTGCCTCCCCGCTGGCCTCCCAGGCACAGCCTGGCCAGGTGGGTTTTCTCCACCCTGCAGCTATGTGCAGTTCCCTGAATTGTTCTGCAGCCTTTGCACGCTTTCTCTAGAATGTTCTGGTTTCAGCTAGCTGCTGTCTGTTCTGGGAAGCATCTCTGCTCTCCTGCCCTTCTCCATGTTCCCACAGCACAGGTACTTATCAAATTGTTATTTTATCACATTGTCTGTCTTCCCCACACAAGACTACACGCTCTTTGAGGGCAGTATCCAAGTTCTGGACACCTCCCCCCGCCCCACCCAAGTACTTAGCATAGTCTGGCACCATCTAGTCAGTGATGAGTGACAACAGAGCCACCCTGTAGGGGCTGTGCGTTAATAGTGCCCTTCTCCTGACAAGGAGAAAAAGGCTGATGGTCCTAACTAGGAGCCTCAGTCAGGCTGCGTCATCACTCCAAATAACCTGGATTATAGAGATTCCTAGAGAAAAGTGCTTCATGAATTTCTCGCCCATGTTCAGTTCCTCACCTTACCTTTCAGAAAGAAAGTACAAGTTTCCTAAGTCAGCAAAGTGAGGATAAATCTTTTCCATTGACATTGGGACACCAGAGAAAGCAGATTTTGCCATCTGTCCTGAGGGAATTCCACATCCTAGTCATACTTCCCTAATAAGTATCATCCTGGTTTACTAATCTTTATACTTTTTTTTTTTAGGTTCCATTAAGTGAATTTGACTTTTCCTGGTCTAAAATTTCTAACATTCAGTCTCAGGTATGTTTGTTTAAACATTTGTAAGAGGGAACCTGGTCCCAACCTCTGGTTTGCAATGTTTCAGTGGGGAGTCCCTGTCCTCTGTGTCTGCCTGTCATAAAATGGGGGGTTGGACTGTGTGGCCTTGCCAGGTTCTTGCTGTGCTGATGGCCACAGTCCTGTGCCCCAGGTCCAAAGCCTGGAGCAAGAATATTAGAATAAATATTGTCAAGGGAATGGCTTTGCTCTAGATTACAATATTTGAAATCTGTGTTTTTATTATATTAAAACCAAAGTTTCTTTCTTTTTCAGCTTGAACAATTGATTGAAAAGAACTACTTTCTTCATAAGTCAGCCCAGGAAGCGTATAAGTCCTACATTCGCGCATACGACTCCCATTCTCTGAAACAGATCTTCAATGTACATAACTTAAATTTGCCTCAAGTTGCTCTGTCCTTTGGTTTCAAGGTGCCTCCTTTTGTTGACCTGAGTATCCTTTTCTTTGTTGTGAAGTCATCCTGGAACTAAGGAACAAAAGCTTGACAGGGGCGTTGGGGGCCCTGCAGTGAGTTGGGGGGCACACTTGCTGCTCATCCTGCTCAGTGTTTACTTGTCTGTGCTGGCACAGGACCTGGAGAAGGAGGGGGTGAGCAGGCATTCATAGTCAAGGTGAGGGTTCAGGAATAGGGGAACTTGTGACGTAAGCTTTTAAAGAAGTTTGTGAGGCAGTGAGGACCAGAGGTAGCTGTGCATTTTAGCAGAAGCGCAGAGAGACACAGTCGCAGAGCTGAGTGCTGCAGGGGTCTGGAGGAGCAGGATGCTGTGCAGTGGGAGAGAAGGGGGCTTTCCAGAGTTTCACTCCTGGTGCCCTTCAAGGGTTTAGTCGAGAAAGTGCCAAGTTCAGCAAAAGAGAACTGAAACATAGTGTTGCTCAAGATAAAAGGTAAAGAAAGGGAATACCTCTGATTGCCTCTGAGGGGACTAGAGAGAACAAAATTTTGAGTTGCCGTCCCTGTTGCAGGCACTGAGTGAAAGTCTGCTGTGATGCATACACAGTGGACTGTGTGACAGGAGGAACGGCTCCTCCCCTCGGTTAAGCATACTCAGACCAGACCCAGACAGAAGTGGAAGTCATTTGTTTTGACACTGAGTTTTTTTTTTTCTTTTAAGATGTGTTCCTATAAATTTCCTTATTGAACTATAACCCATTGTCACTCATTCTCATAAATTTCATTGTGTGGAGGAAATTACATGCCTGCTCATTTTAGACCAGGATCTTGCAGCCACTCCTGCTTTTCGGGAAGTACATTGTAGAGGCTGATGCTGTTGAGAGAGGGTTGAGGTGGCAGGGCGGTGGTGCACCTGCGGCTTTTCTCCGGGTAGTGTACGATTGGAGTTTGTTACCTTCGTTGCTTGATTTCCTTAGCATTTACGTGTAGACGTGAGCAGCAATGAAGGCAAGCAAAGAAAGAGAGGAGGTGGCGGCGGATTTGGCTACCAGAAGACCAAGAAGGTTGAGAAGTCAAAAATCTTTAAACACATTAGCAAGAAATCATCTGACAGAAGGCAGTTCTCACACTGAAGACACAACTTCCTTTCATCTGGAATAGCTTTGTCCTGAAATGCAATTTTTTTTCTTGCTCTAACAAAGAATTTTGTAGCCGTAGAATTTGGACCTACGTAACAAGAATATGAATTGACTTAGGTTGGAAGCACTGAGCACTGTGATTTTTTTTTTCACTAAGTGTCTTTTATTTTGGAGGCATAAAACAGACTTTAATATTTCTTGGTTACCTAAGGGCAAGGCAAGCATTTCTCTAGTGTTTTTGTGGTGATAATATGCCATTTTAATTTTAAATACACGCAAACTTACGTCATTGTTTTAATATAATTTTTTTGTTCCTTCTCGGTTTTTGAAGATTTCTGTGGCATGGATTTCTGTACTGACTTATTGTAGAAGGTAACTTAGTATACTAGACAGATGATGGTAATGCAAAAATAGTCTCAGGGCTTTTTTAGTGTTAGTTGTTTGTAGGATCTTCATGGTATTATTATGTCTCCTGACCCCTCCTAAAAATGCTGCAGTATATAAGGGCAGAGAATTTTGAGAAATACCCATGAAGCACCTTAGGATAAAGGCACCATCATTTTTATATAGTCTTGATTTTTTTAAAAATGAGCCTTTCCCAGTTTCTTTTTTCTTTTAGAGTAAGAAATTTGGGTTATTTGTCATTGTTATTTAAATAGTGTCCCTAGCAGTCCTAACGGGGGTGGGAGGAGGGAGATTGAGATTTGTGAGCTTCATTTACACCAATATTGGTGTAATACACTGCTGATCTTCATCTGGCGATACTTTAAAGAAAAAAAAATAAAAGAATAGTGACATTCCTCCTCCAGGTTTGTTGATTTGAAGGTGGTCTGGGTTGTGGGAAGCCGGTCCAACGCTGCAGCGCTCTTAGAAGCCAGGGCCAACTATCGGTAGGCGTAAAGCCAAGCCCACAGTGCTCAGCATCCATCTATGTTAGTTTCTTGGTGAGAAAAATTACTTCTTCCAGATCCATGAAACAAAAAATAAGATCTGTAGTGAAAACTGAAAATAAACAGTGGTCAGAAAAAGATAGCTAAGTCAGTCAGGTGAGTTTTTTGTTGTAGGCGCACTTGATTTCTGTTGTGTTATGGTAGTGCATAAGTACAAAACAGTTAACAGTTCAAAACTCTGAGCCAAAACTGCCAGCATCATTTTGCTGTTGTGCAAGTTAATATTTGTAGAGTCTCAATAAACGTAAGTACGCCGAGAACATCAAATGGAGGAAACTGATAGTTAACATTCCAGTACGGAAAGCACAGCGCCCCCCTCTGGGCTTGACTGCTGCCACTGGCTGCAGGTGTCCTGGTGTTCAAGCCTTGACTCCTGTGCGCCTGGCTTGTTTTCTTGGATTCCTAACTCGTAACTCTCTCCAGTATCATGCTTTCCTTTTTTATTCAGAAATAATTATGTTTTTAAAAATACACAAAGGGAAGAATAATTAATGGACAGAGGTAAATACTGTTGGTATTTTGGTATGTAACCTTCCAGGTTTTTCTATGCATGTTAATATGCATTTTTAATTTTTTTATCAAAAGAGAAATTATCTTCTGCCTACTACTTGTAACCAGATTGTTTTATAACATGTCATTCTCCTGTGTCATTAAATAACTACATTAATCTTGCATTTCATTTATGGCTGTGATTCATTAGCCCTTGCTTAGTGTGCCAGGTGTGGGTTCAGGATACTTGCTTGTCCCAGGCTGGCTCTCCTGAGTCTGCATGTTCAGTGCCCTTTGTTGTCTTGCGATTGTTGGTGCAGATGAGTCCAGTCTGCAGAGGTTTTGAGAGAGGTATATGAAAAGAACTGGAAAGGCTGGTCTTAGTTTAATACCTTACTTATTGCTGGTAGGGTATAATAAGATATTATGATAACTTTTTGTTACAGTATATTCTTTTATTATTTTTAATTTCTTATTATGCTTAATTTAATAAATTTTGTCATAGGTATGTATGTGTAGGAAAGAACATAGTATATATAGGATTTGATACTATCCAGTTTCAGGCATCTACTGGGGGTATTGGGATATACTCCCTGTAGAAAGGGGAGACTGCACCACATGCCGGGTGTAATTCTGGAGCAGGGTGGTCCAGGCCATGGACATAAAGACAGCTAGATTTGACCAACCTAACCGGGATTCAGATGTGAAGGAGCCAGTTACTAGCATCACATGCAAGGTCATGGCAGCAGCATCTATCAGTATGGCTCATTTGCATAAGAAGGGCTCCTTAGAAGAGCACAGTTGCTGGTGTTGACTGTGAGCAGGTGACAGTGGGGAAGCTTCAGCTGTGATGGTTAGAAGGCAGAGTGGGCAGGAAGCAAAGCATCTTATTAAGGTCCAAAGAGGTTTAAAATGAGTGCTCTGGAGTCAAATGCCTAGATTTAAATTCCAGCTATGGTACTTGGTGCCTTCTGAGCCTGCTTTATGAGTAAGATGGAAGTAGTTACACCTACTTTATAAGGTGGTAAGAATTGAATGAGCTAGCACATAAAGGCCTGGGCCGGTGCCCTGGCGCAGGGGGCTCTGTCCGTTTTAGCTGTGCACATCCTGTGTGAAAAGCCTGTGCCAGACAGCAGCCGGTACAGAGGCTCATCCGCAGTCCTGCACCAGTTGGGGCCTTTTGTAGTACGGGCAGGATTCCTGACAGTCTGGGGAAGTGGTCCATACCTACAGCACCTTCCTAAGGTGCCTGTAGAGTTGATCGATGGCATCCTGAAGACTGCATTACTGAGTGTTAGATGCAGCAACAGCAGTGTAACTTTGGATAATTACTAGGAATTAGAAGCCTGTAAGGTTCCAAAAATTGCACAGGACACAGAAGAATGACCCCAGGTCCCTGTTGGGAAGGCTGGTTAAAGTCTAGAGAAGGTAGTCAGATCAGCTGCAACGCTGTTCTCCAGATATTGTGATACATGCAAGTGTTCCAGCTATTTCTAAACCCAAATTCCTTCATCCCAGCTTCTAGTGGACTGAGGATTTTCTTCTCCATCCTCAGTCATTCTTGTTGATTCTGAATCAGTAGGCCTCTGTGGAGACAGGCCTCTGGGTGCTTCTCATACATAGCTAGGTTTGCGAGCAGCCAAACAAGAATCCATATACATACAAGCCTATTACCAAGCTTTTTTCTGCTCTCGCAAAGTGATGGTGCTCAACACAGCAAGTGCTGTGCATATGTGGGTCACAAACTAAGGTGGCCCAGAGGAAACGGTCAGGCTTTCCAGCAGGATACCCTATGTTTTGTGAGAAGCAGCATGTTGTGGGACAGCCTAGCAGCCATGGCCCCACCCCTCCCAATGCCAGGCACGGAAAGCCTCGAGATGCCTCAGTAGGGCTCTATTCAATCACTCTGAAGAGGTGTTGGCACAGGAGATGAAGCGGATTTACCCTGGTCACATGTCCTTGGGAATTAAGCCATTCTTCCCTCTGGGACTCAGCTTTGCACCTGTAATTTAAGGAAGGTTGGGGAAAATTGTAACTGAATGATCACTTTTCTGTGGGGCAAAAAGTGGTTCTTTTTGCTATGATGGCCAGTCAAGCTTCTAACCTGTGTTTGGAGAACATGCCGTTTCAGTCCAGGAGGGTTGCAAGATCACCTCTCAACCAGGGCAGGGCTGTGACCTGGGGTGACCAATCACATTGACCTGCCCAGTCTGTGGATCAGATGCTATTAATAAGACAAGAACAGAAACAGACATGGCAGCTTCCCATCTAGGTCCAGAGGCGGCTGTTTTGGGAACAAAGGTGGTTCTGGCTGTGGCAGCAGCTACATCACATCCGATAGAGTGACAGTGAGTGGCATGCCTGACTGGTACTGCACTTGACTCACCCTTGTTCCTGCCCATTTTGCAGCCATTTTATATCCTTTCAATTTTTAGTTCAAATCATTCAGAATGGTTTTCTTTTGCTCATAATTAAGACTTAGTTTCTCACTTTCCCTCTCCAATTATAAGATGTCCAGGTTGTTTGACACCTTTCAGGCCCTTTTGTGCCCAGAACATCCCTTCTCCTGAGCACAGGGAAAGGGGTGGGGTACTGAGCACGGCCAGGGCCTGCAACATGCAGGGCAAGGTTGCATCAAAGGAAGAACAAGGGGCCAAGCTCACCACTTCTAGGGACAGGTCATGGAAGAGCTGCTCTGGCTCTAGCACAGCGGTTCTCAACCTGTGGGTCACAACCCACAGGAACTGTAGTAAAGGGCCTTGGCGTTAGGAAGGTTGAGAACCACTGCTCTAGAGGTTTAGCAAGCAGGAAGAAGAAGGACCTTCAGCCAGCTCTTCTCACAGCCTCACAGGGAGTGTCCACAGCTGGAAAAGCAGAGTTAAGCATCCTTAGTTTTCTGGAGCCGGATGGAACTTGCAGAGTTTCCCTCTCTGTGTTATCGCCCCCATCTAGAAGGGGAGGGAGAATGGAAGGTGAGGTGCAGAGTTGGGAGGTCAGCTCTTACAAATGAGAGTTATTGGTATTACCAAAAACAGCAGTAAGGAAGGTCAGAACCAAGAAAAACACTTTCTAGGGCTGCCCTGCTTTTCATACCCTCTGCCCACCATAACAAAGTCATAGTTTCTGATGCTTTAAAGCCAATAATCTGCCTAAATGTGCCCTCTTTCTGGAGATGTGTCCCACCTCCCCATGCCTCCTGATCTGCCCAGCAGAGGGCCTGTCAGACGTGCTGCCCTAACAGGCCAGCGCAGCTGCCAGAGGTCCTTGAAAACCAGAGCCACTGGTAATGTTTGACTTGTTTCTGTGCGTTGTAGGAGAGCTACTGGAGGGTCATCTTTTCCATCACAGGGGAAAGAAAGAACAAAGGAGGGAAGAGCAGGAACAAACACTTGCCATGCTCAATCATGCTCACAAGATGCCCTTAGGGGGATGTCTGGGAACCCAGGTGGAAATCAGAAGAACAAAGCTAGAAAGCCCAGCTGTGAGCTTGATCTTGAACTTGGCCTGCAGTGGGGAGAAAGCTGTGCATTAGGGTTCATTTTGGCTAATGTTTAAGAGGAGAGGCCCCAGGTGAAACTGAAGGAAAGGCACACAGGGACCCGAAGAGGGAACAGATAGGATGGACACCATGGCACTGCATCCTCCAGGCATGACCAGAAATTCTGGGATGGCCCAAAAATGATGAGAGTGTGAAGACGATAGGTGATGGAAAGGAACCACCCACGTGTAGCTTTGAGCATACTTTTTGTGATATTTGGCACTACAAATAAGCAAAAAAAAGTCCTTGAAAAATCAACAATCATATCCCCCACCTTGGGTTGGACACTCCTGAAAGGGAAATAACTCCTGCCTTGGAGGATTACTGTGTGAATGAAATA